CTTTCGCTCTCTCCCCCCTCCTCCCTCCCTCCCTCCCTTCCCCCGGTCGCCTCCCCCTCTCTCTCCCCCCTCCCCCCGCAACATCACCCCATGCCAGTCTGCTCCCCCACACTGATTGCTCGCTCCTCCCCCTCCCCCCCCCTCCTCCCTCTCTCCCGGGGCAGCCCTCCTCCCTTCTCCCCCTCCCCCTCCTTCCCCACTCCCGGTGCGACCCCCTCTTCCTCCTTCCCTTCCCCCACTTATTCTCTCTCCCTTAATTCTTCCTTTTCTTCTCTTGCTCTTTCTGTTCCTCTTTTTTTCTCTTGCTCTTTCTCTTCATCTTTCTTCTCTAGTTCTTTCTCTGTTCTTTCTTCTCTCCATTCTACGTCGTTCCTCTTCTTCCCTCCCTTTACCCCCTCTTTCTTCCTTCCTTCCTTTCTTCTTCCCCTTCCTCTCTTTCTCTCCTATTCTCTCCGACTGTTTCTCCTTCCGTCTCTTACTTCCCCTCCTCTCTTCTCCCTACTCCTTTCCTCTCTCTTCCTGTTCCTCTTCCTCTCCTCCCCCTATTCTTTCTCCCTTCTTCCCCCTCCATCATTTTCCTTCTTCCTCTTCCTTTCTCTTTCTCTTCCTTCCTCTTTGTCTTTCCTCCCCTTCCCTATTCCTACTCCCGTTCTCTCTTCTTCCCTTTCTCTCCTCCCCTCCCCTATCCCTTCTCCTCCTCCCTTCCCTTTCTTGTACACCCCCCACTCCCCTCCCCTAATTTCTAATTCTTCCTTTCCCCTCTTCTCTTTCTCTCTCCTCCAATATCCCTCCTCTTCCTCCCTTTCCCCATTCCCTCTCTTCTACTTTCTCTCCTCCTCCCCTCTATTTTCCCTTTCTCTCTTCTCCTATTCCTTCCTTCCCCTCTCTCTCTCCTCCTCGCTTTCCCTATCCCTTATCCCCTCCTCCGTTCCCTCTCTTCTATCCTTTCTCTTCTCCCCCTCCCTAGGCCTCCTCCTCCTTTCCTCTTTCTCCTCCTCCTTCCTTCCACTTTCTCCTCCTCCTTTCCTCTTTCTCCTCCTCCTTCCTTCCTCTTTCTCCTCCTCCTTCTCCTCTTCCCTTCGCTCTCTTTCCCCATCTTTCCTGTCCTAGTTCTCCTCCTTTCCTCCTTCTTCCTTCCCCTCTCTCTTCCTCTCTCCTCCCTTCCCATTCCCTCTCTCTTCCCCCCTCGTCCTACCCTGTCCCGCCTACTTCCATTCCTCCCTTTACTCCGCCTCCCTTCTCCCTTATCTCCCTTCCCCTCCCTCGCTGCCAGCTCACCCTCGACACTGACAACAAGGAAGCACCATAACTCACTCATTATGAACGCTCACTGCAAGTACCACCACTAGCCAGTACCTACGGGGCAGGAGCGTACGTCATGCGTGTATGTGTCCTCAGGTTTTTGTTGTGTGTGTGTATAACTGTTGTGTGAGGTTGTATATATATATATTTTTTGTATTTGTGCTATTGTTTTTGTTTGTGTGTGTTTGTACTATGCAATTGTGTGGCTGTACTGTACAATTGTGTGTTTGTACTGTACAATTGTGTGTATATAATGTACAATTGTGTGTTTGTACTGTACAATTGTATATCTGTACTGTGCAACTGTGTGTATTGTTATATACAATTGTGTGCTTGTACTATACAAATGTATGTTTGTACTGTACAATTGTGTGTGTTTGTACAATTATGTATGTATGTTTGTTCAACTGTGTTCGTTATGTGTTTGTACAACTGTTTTTTTTCTGTGTGCTTGTTTGAACAACTGTGTTTGTTTTGTTTGTGTTTGTCTAGCTGTACTGTGTGTGTTTGTCCAACGGTGCATATCATGTGAGTTAGTTCAACTGTGTTTGTTTTGTGTGTTTGTCTAAATGTAATATTACGTGTGTGTTTGTCCAACCGTGTTTGTTATGTGTGCGCTCGTTCAACTGTCTCTCTTGAGTTTGCCCAACTGTATTTGTTGTTTGTGTTTTTGTCCCCGTGCCCTTTTAACAAACAACAAAGAAAAATCCGCACCTCTATTTCGAAAGTCATTTTGGTCTCCCGTGAGGAATATTTCCGTTTGCGAAAATTCTGTCTGTCTGTCGCCCCATGCGAAATCTATAGATAGCTTGGCCCTATATATGGAAGCGAACGTGGGCCTCGCGTGTGTGTGTGTATGTGTGTGTTTTATGAAGTGATGTGATGTATGGTTATATATAATCTTTCTGCCGATTGTCTATGTGTACTGTATGAATATGTATGTATTTATGTAAGTATGTATGTACGTAATTAAATGCGTATATATGCGTATTTACGTATGTATATATGAATATCTGAATGAATGTACGTATGTATGTATGAATGTATGAATGTATGCATGTATGTGTGTATGTATGTATGTATGTATGCATGTATGTATATATGTATGTCTGTATGTACGTATGTATGTGTGAATGTATGAATGAATGAATGTATGCCTGTATGCATTAATGAATATATGTATGAATGAATAGATTTA